GCGGGGAGTCTGCTTCTCCCTCTGACCCTCCCCCTCTCATGCTCTCTCTCTCTCTCAAATAAATAAATAAAATCTTTAAAAAAAAAAAAAGATTATAAACATCATTGGATCCAGAAGTTCCAATTATGTAGTATGTTTTTGAGAATTAAACTGAAACATAGATACAAAGAGAGCTATTCACAACGTAGAAATTTTTAAACATCCTAAATATTTAACAATTGATTTATTAATTATAAAGCACCCAATGGATGGAACTATTATTAAGTCATTAAAAACCATGCTATAGAAGACTACCTAACAAACACAGGAGAAATGCCATCGTGTATAAACATCCACTTATGTTAAAAGAGCAGAAGGATAGATACCCAAATGTTAAGAGTAATGTATCTACATTGTGGGAGGATGAGTGACTTTTTCTTTTTATGTTTTCACATTTTCCAAATTTCCTGCAATGCAGCTACACTACTTTTCTGAGTAGAAAATAGTAAACTTTGGAAGCGCCTGGCAGGCTCAGTCAGTGGAGCATGTGACTCTTGATCTCAGGGTTGTGAGTTCGAGCCCCATATTGGAGGTAGAGATTACTTTAAAAAAAAAAAAGAGAGAGAGAAGAAAGTAGTAAACTTTGCAGTGGTGTGATGGAGTCAGCTTATATCAGCTCACAAAAGCCAATCGTTAGATTTTCAGGAATTTGTGAGCAGGTTAAGCACATCCATTTAAAAAATTAAATAATATCGACTTACAGTTAAATAAATTATATGAAAGCATAGGTAATGAATACTTAAACTCATCACTTCCTAATCGTGTTTCTGGATTTCGCTATTATCTATGTCCTTGAGGCTGTTAATGTCCATTGTATCTGCATAGTGGAAATGCTAACACGATGGTGACCTAGTGCTTCTCCCTTTCCAACTCAGGGACATTAGGTTGGAGGTCTGACATCAGCTTCAGTGGGAGCATTTGCATCGTGAAGGTTGGCAAATGCTACAGCTCAGGACTTCCTTTCTTTCCTCCGGAGAATTACTTCTTCAACATTTACCAGCACAGCACAGATTTTTAAAAATTGTTTCTTTTAAATGACTATTTCTTGTGAAAATAGAATGTGGCCCTTTGGTGGGGAGAGAGGAAGAGAGGATTTTCCTATCCAGTAAATTAGGGAGGGGAATGTGATTAAATTAGTTTGATCCTTCCAGGAATGTTTCATATCAAAAAAGGTGGTCATGGTGGTGAATAGTTCACTCACCACTTAGTTACTGCAAATCAAGCCAACCCCAGTTTAGCACCTGTCATCTTCTTTGCTACAGCCTTGCGTTTGGTCTCTACAACCCAGCTGAACCTCCCTGAGACATCCCAGTCTATAAAATAAAGAAAAGATAACGAATGGCCTTTTTAATCCTTGGAGCTTGGGATGAATCAAACTAATTCATATATTTGAAGGTACTTTGAAAACTATGAAATATAGGGTATGCTTATAATACTTATCACATCACGAAAACCATGGGTATCTTCTTATAAAGCAAAATTAGAACCAAATGTGTTCCTATTCATAACATACTAATATTGCATTAGTTTTGAAAAACATTTTTAGCCACAAAGAATTCTTTTAATTTAAATGTTTCTAGAAATATGAATTTTAATAAGAATGCTCACAAAATCCCAAGGCCCACATTTTCTCCCTGTGTTTCACAGATCCCGATGTCATCAACTGATTTTTCGGGAAGTGGCAATTAGCAAAATATGGAAACTATGCGCAGGTTCCAAATACCTGAAACAACAGAAGAATCCACCAAAGACGATTCCAGCGAATCACTCTCCTCATCCCAGCCCTCTCTCTCTGGACTTGGCTGACCTGTGGCTAAAAGAACTGCCTCTTGAATGTCGGGGCCACCTTCTTGGGATAAGTTCTCAGTCTCTGTGAATAAAGCATTAGAAGGTAAGTAGTAGTGCAGTGCAAGCTTGTGTAGAGTCTGCATCACTGCAATTGCTATTCTGCAAATGAAACAGGAGTTCCTAATGGACATTTACCGGAATATATTGAAGTACTTTGAAATCCTAAACAGAATGTAAATCGTTAATGCAAGTTTTTACACAATATAAGTAGATATCATTGCTATTTTGAAAAGCAAGTGGAGGTTCCCAGTAGAAATCTGCCTGAATATACTTTTGTACTTTGACATTTTGAAATGCTAGGAACATAGTTTTTGTTATGATACGGTATTTCTATTTTTAATATGGACACAGTGAGTAATTCTTTTGTAATGATTACATTTTATCTAAAAAGACATTATCTAAGTATCATGGTAATCACAAAAACAGTCTGATGATTTCCCATCTGACCATTACTGGTAGGAAGTAAGACACTTATTTAGTGACACAAAGTTATATTTAAGGCTGAATTATGAAAATGCAAATTTGGTGGTGGTTTTTCTTTAGCTTGCGCTCTTAACATTTTGTTCCCTCGCTGTGCGTTCTACATGAGATGTACATATGCTTTAATGTCAGCCTAAATTCATGTATTTTGAATATCTGGAGATTTTTTAGGAATTCAATAAAATATTCTGCATCCTTCCCTTCCCCTTCCCTCCATTTGTCCCATCAGCCTTTCTTCCTTCAACCAACAAGTATTGAATGTTTTCTTACGGGACTGTGTGGGTTACAAAGAAAAATAAGAGTTTCTGTCCTCCTGAAGCTATCGTCTATCAGAGAAGACTGATTCCCTAAATAAAGTTTCTTAAAGTATCATTGTGTATTAACCCATCTGAAAGAATAAAGGGAAAGTATGTCCTGCGTATGGAGAATTTCCCAAAGAAAATTGTTGTGACTTTGGACTCTGTTGTTGGACAAAATGACTTGACAATGTTTGCAGGTACACATTAAGTATGTTTGGGGTTTGTAATCAGAATCGTCCATTTATTTTGTGCTTACCATACAAGTTCTATGGAAATGTTGAATCACTTAATCCTCCAAAGAGCCCTAGGTAATAGGTAATATTATTTTCCCCAGTTTACAGAGGAGTAAACTGTGGCACAGAGAGGGCAAGTGCCTGCTCAAAGCTATACAACCAGGGAAGTAAAAGAGCCAGGATTCAATAAGCATCAGTATCCAGAGCCTAGGCTCCTCTATCAGTCAGCTCAGGCCACAATAACAAAATATCATAGATGGAATAACTCAAGCAAGAGAATTTGATTTTCTCATAGTGCTGGAGATTGGAAGTTCCCGATCAATGTGCCAGCAGGATTGGTGTCTGGTAAGAGCTCCCTTCTAGGGTACAGAAGGCCACCTTCTCATTGTGTCCTCACATGGTGAAGAGAGAGACAGAGATCTCTTCCTCTTCTTATAAAGCCACAGTCCTATCAGATTAGGGCTCACCCTTCTGACCTCATTTCACCTTAATTATCTCCTTGGAGGCCCTATCCCCCAGAAACAATCACAGTAGATATTAGGGCTTCAACATATGAATTTTGGGGAAACACAACTTAGTCCATAGTAACTCCTAATCACAAGAATAATCACAGCTAACTTTATTCTGGTCATTAAGACCCACCAGAAAAATTCTTAGATCCCCATAAAAAGAGGTATAGGTCAGCAAACAAAATTTAAATCCCAATCCCTCTGATTAGATTTTCTGAGGAAATGAAAAAATAAGCCCTGCTTTTTGGAATGAGTGGGTCAGGAGCAACCTGCCTGCCGGTAGGGGTGGTGGGGAGTCCACAGATGTTGCCCCAGCCAAGGATTGGAGATTTTCTTCCACTCCTCAAGGGAAGCTCAGAGACCCCTTTCCACTCTGCTCCCTGCCGTCAGAGAAGCCCTCGTATCTGGGTCAATGCCCATCATCACTCCCTTTGGTAGAATGAGGGAGAAGCCCCAACCATGAGAGGACCCTGCTACGGGACAAGAGAGGGGTTTGGACAATTGGTGCCCCTGTTTTTCTTTCCACAAGGCCTTTCCCCCTTTTATAAAGTGCCTGGCCTTGGCCAGCCAGGATATGTGTGTGGGCTGGTGAAATTGTGGATAAACTAGTCCCTAAGCCATTCAAAAACAGACACATAAAGACCTAATAAATTTACGGCATACAGTAAAGAAAGTGAAGAGGAAAGCATGAAAGTACTAGATGTATGTGATGAGTGTGTTACAATGTAGGTATTACCTGGGATGTACTACACTACCTACATTGCTCTTGTTCAAAGAATTATAATTTTTAGAATTACATTAAACTTCTAGAGGCGACTGCATGGCTCAGTCAGCTAAGTGTCCGACTCTTGACCTTGGCTCAGGTCTTGATCTCAGGGTGCTGAGTCGGAGCCCTGCATTGGACTCCTTGCTGGGAATGGTGCCTACTAAAACAAACAAATAAACAAACAAAACTTCTAACAAAGCATCTGGTGAAGAAGAATTTAAAAATATTTTAGAAAGAGGGGTGCCTGGGTGGCTCAGTGGGTTGAGCAACTCTTGGTTTCCACTCAGGTCATGATCATGATCTCCAGGTCCTGGGATCCAGCTGCATAGGGCTCTGTGCTCAGCATGGAGTCTGCTTTCCTTCTTCTTCCCCATGCTCCTCACCCCCACTTGCTCTCTCTTTCTCTCTCAATTAAGTGAATAAAAATCTTTAAAAAAAAAAAATATATATATATATATATATTAGAAGAAAACATGGCCAGACATGTTGTATATGTCAGGAGAATCTAGAAGACACTTTGGAGCAGATCTTCTAGACTCCATCCTAAACAAGTGTGCCACCGTACACAACTGTAAAATGGATGGGTACCCTCGAATTTGAGGGACGGATATAACAAGGTCTTGTGACCTAAAAGGTCACCTTTCTAATGTTTCTCATTACACTGAAACCAAAATTTCTCAGGGAACAACAACAACAAAAAAATCTAGACTGCAGCCATTTTCTCTTCGAAATTTAAGCCCTTGAATGTTTGTCATGGATGGAAAAGGTTCCATGAGGTCCTGAAAGGGAACTCATCATGGGTGTGTGTTGTGTGTGTGTGTGTGTGTGTGTCTGTCTCTGTATATGCATATATATACACAGATATGTGTGTGTGTGTGTATTTCTTACTGGGCGAAATTAACCTATTTCATAAATAACATAGAATAAAAAATAATGTGCTATTTATTTTAATAACTTAGTAACTTTTTATTTTGCAAAAGCAACTGAGAAAAGTGTTTACTGGGTATCTTCTTCCATTAGAAAGTGGTATGTGGCAATAGGGACTTTGTGTGTCTCACTTAAGTCCATATCTGCAGCATTTGCAACAGTGTGTGCGGCACTCATCACACGTTGTTCATTGAATGAATGATGGGATGGCTGGATGAACAGAAGAAGTGGAGTAACCTTGAAGTGATTGTAATGTATTTAAATCATTTTATTACCAATTAACTTTCAATTTGTCTTACATATGAGATTTTTGAAAACATAAGATACACACCCTGAAAAGAAAAACAAGATGGCAGTTTATATTAGGTTTACAAATAATATATGTGAAGACTCTAAAATGTTACTTTTATTATTATAATTGAAGGAACAAAAAAAAAAACCTCACAGGAAGTAATATTGAGATATGTTGGTAATTATAGACCTTTTATCAAATGTTTAATAAATTCCTTAAAAATTGATATAGATGACCAGAAGACTAGCAGCACAGTTGTAATAACCACTAAAATATTTTCTTCCAATTTATTGGTTATCTAATCAATGTATAAATTATTTTGATAAAAATTTTAGATAATCATCTTGTCTTCAATATAAGATGAATAGTGGAAGGAATATTAGACTAGGGGTCAGCTGCCAATATAGCTGCCAATATTTGGCAGCTGCATAAATATATAAAGCTGTCAATAGCCCAGTTTGCTGAGTTTTATGATCTTTGGTAAGTTAATCTTTTCCCACGCAACAGTTTCTTCATTTGTAAAGGGGAAAAAAATAGATGATTTCTCAAATCGCTTCCAATTTTGAAATTTTGATTCTCAATATCTTAGTGTTTGACATTGTGTCTACAGGCTTCGTTAAGCTTTCAATCACTAGGGAAAATGTACAAACTCTTTTTTAGTAGAATTAGATATACCTGCATTGCTTTCAAAGCAAGTGGTGCCTGTTAGCTCTTGGATAAGAGCGTGGTTTTCCGTTTGATGCAGAACAATCAGAAATGCAGAAAACCAGTTTTCTTTCTGCATGATCCTTTTCAGTAGCTCTCTTACACCTGATTCATTTCCATTGCTTTCTGCAGCAGAAATCTGTTTTAAGAGAAAAGCAGAATTAAAAAGATCACACAACTTCTGAACAATTTTAAACAGGAACTAGCCTTTTTAAAAAATGAGCAATTAAGCGTAGTAAGTATTAGTAAAGGCTTATATCTAACCACTAAAGAAAAGAACAACGTCACTTACAGTAATTCTGGATTGTAGCTGGGACAAATCTCTGGGCCAAGCCCCCTTTTAAATATGAACCATTTTTTAAAGCCACTAAGATATTCAAAACTTACACTTAGGAAATAAAGGTTCTACCTTGGTCATTCTGAATAATGGGGACAAAAGAAAATGCCTTTTATTTCTAGTTCTGTTATGTCTATTTGCATCAATTTCGTTCCGTATATCTAGGGTTTGCTATTTCTTTTCAACCCATGGAGTCTATAAATAGGAAGCCAAATATTTCTTACCTGACTCCTCTCTCTTGACTATCACTACTATTAAGTAATTACTATCAAAAGATTTATATTCTTGTTTACTTAGTATTTGCAATATGTATTAATGACTATAATATTTTCCTAAATTTGTGTTTATTTAATATTATGAGACTAATTTATTTATACATATATTCCTTAAAGTATGGGGCAGAATCATTTAGTCTTCCTTTGACTTCTCTTTTAGACTAAACTAACAAATCATTTTAAATGTAGATCATTTGTGTAATCATTATCACAGTGCATCTCCCAGTTCTTAATACGGCACCAAACATTTGGAGAAAAGACCAATACAAGCCACATTTAGAACAGAAAGAAATGAGACAGGGCATCATCAGCCTGCTGTGCCTTTGGGAAAGGCTTCATCCCTCTGGGCTTCAACTTCTGCATGTGCAAAATGAGGCAACTGAAAGGAAATTTCAGGGCTTTTCCACTCTACCTGCACATTAGGCACACCTGGGGAGCTTTAAAAACACTCATGTCTGGGATCTACCCCCAAAGATTCTGACTTATTTTGTCTGTGTTGGGAAGCCAGAATTTTTTTTAAGGATCTCATGATTCTAATCAGCAGCTTAGATGAGAAATATTGACTTACCTCCTCTCAAAGGCCCTTCTGAACATTCGTCCACCTCCTACATGTAGAATCTGGGTTGATTAGCTAGATTAATTGTTTCCTATTAAATTTGTGTATTTTCTAGTCCTATAAATATATCCTATAACTTTTTAGTGTCAGGTATTTGCTTGCATTTTTGAAACAGTGTCTGACACAAATTTAGTGTTAGTTATTATTATGGATGACTGAAGAAAGCATCTACCTTTATAAACACTTCACCAGTGGACGCTACTTAGTACAGAAGTATGCAGCATGATTTCTACCCAGTGGGTATGTTTGTCTTACTAGATAATACTTAATAATGTTATTATAAAGGCTTTGCACCTATTAACCCAGAAACCCTGAAGAAGGAACTAATATTAACCCACTTCACAGACCAGAAATCCAAGGCACACAGAATTCCAGTTACCTCCCTGAAGCCAAAAAGCTAGTAAATGGCAGAGGTGGCATTTCATCCCAGGCAATTGACTTCGGAGGCCAAATACTGCCTTCCTGAGCTATAATTATAGCTACTAATTGTCTCCAATTTTAAGCACATTTTCTGACAAGAAGTGGATAAGATGACTACTGGACTTAATAAAATTTAGGTGATTTCAGTCCATCTCCCTCACAGCATTTTCTAAGCAGATTCTTGCTCATTTTCTACCTTTTGTCTAACTTCATTAATCTCCTAATGGAAACTTTTTGTCTTCTCTGGTGTTTGTAGCATCTTTATTATTATCTGCTAACTTAAAACTTAGTTGCTAAAGACGTTTAGTTAGACTGGTTTGAGCACCTTCTTTCAACTCAATCATTTCTATTTTTAATTACCTTACTCTTTAATCACCTTTAAATCCATCTGACAGAAGTAATCAGAAAGCATTTCTCTAAAAAGATAAGTGATACACTGTAATGAATATTCTCACTAAAAACCTAATTATATTATAGGCATTAAACTTTCATCCACTATTAATCAGTTAAGTTGATTTTAACTGTAAAATTACACTTGTCAAGCTTTCTTTGTCCTTACTGGGTTCAGGCATTTGAGGATCATTATGTCATTATTTCCTATGAGTATTTTTATTATCTGAACAGTGGAACTACATAGAACACCAGTGCAATTTTAGCAACTTCATCAAGATTCTGAATTTTTAAGAAGTCTTCTGAATTTGAGTGCTAGAAAGTACCTTTGAAACAGCCATATATATATATATATATATATATTTTTTTTTTTACTTAATATGTTCTCCTAAAACATACTAGAGATATTAGATCCCAGTATTAAACTTGATTATAAAAATTGAGAGGTGAGTATTTAGACTTGAGACTTCAACAGGACATGTAATGATTCTCACTCATGTTCCTCCCTCACTGAACATTTTCCCTAAATATGCAGTTTAAAATATTTCTGATACATTGTTAACTAATTTATGGAATACAAAATAAATATGAATTTGTGGGTAATACAATTACATGCTTTCACATTCTAAATTCTTTGATCTATGTTTTTTTCTTTCCAACCGAAATCAGTAGAGAAAGCAATGATATTTCCATTAAGCACTGGTTTGCCAACAAAATGGCTTGATAAAAATGTTTTCACTCCTTCATAAAAACCTTAGATAACTATTTAAATATAATGGTGATTTTTTTTAACACAACAGAGCTCAGCTCTCATCCCAGTAACTCAGGAAGCAAAACTCATGTTAAAAAGAAAGAATTTTTAAAGACTAGTTCCTCATAGGAAGAGAAGAAAAAATAAAACAAGATGAAATCAGAGAGGGGGACAAGCCATAAGAGACTCTTAATCATAGGAAACAAACTGAGGGTTGCTGGAGGGGAGGGGGTGAGGGGATGGGGTAACTGGGTGATGGCCATTAGGGGGGGCACATGATGTAATGAGCACTGGGTGTTACATAAGACTGATGAATCACTGACCTCTACCTCTGAAACCAATAATATATGTTAATTAATTGAATTTAAATTAAAAAAATAAATTTTTTAGAGAGAGAGAGAAAAAAAAAACTAGTTCCCCATAAAAAGTTAATGTGTTTCTAAATGAATATGTATCAGCACACTGACATAACTGATTTCTTACTAGTACTTTTTCTTGCTAATAAAATTCTTACACATACTAATTTACCTGACAATACAATGAGCTGGGGGAGACTGACTCAGCTTCTCATCTTTATGTAAGGACAACTGGACTTGGTTTCTAGCTGGACCGAACACACTATCTCTGGTTCTCCTATGTAAATGAAAGGTATATGGGGTCTTCCTGGACTCTGGATGTTTAATGCTTTGAACTGGCCAGGACTGAAACAGGAACCTCTCTTCAGCTGTTCAGACTGATATTAAGTAACTATGGAAATGTTTATATGGTTACCTCTTTTCCAGAGTTCATGGCTGTCTAAGTTAATGGATGTGCCAAGAGGTCACTAAGTGTCCTAAAATAAAAGCAGGTCAGTCCAGGGGCAGCCCCTTTCTATTAGGGATCATTATATTATAATGATCTATAAAATGATTCTTCTATTTATCGTTGACTCCCCAGTATTTATAATAGTGCCTTGCATACGCTAGACATTAACTATTTATTAGAAGAATGAATCAACACTACAACATAAGCTCCATGAAAGCACAGACAGTATTGGCATTATTATCCAGTCTTTTCACCACTGGCATGATGTCTGCCACAAGATGTCACTCCATAAATTTAAACCAAATGAATGAATAGTCAATCCATTAAAGATGTTTTTTTGGGTACTTACTGGACACAAAACTAAATCTAGGATAATTTCCGGAGGCTCTGATGTATGAAGGGCAGGGGTTGCAGGGATGGACATAAGAATCATAAACTAAAATGACAGACCAGTAGAAAATGTCTACTAGAAAACAGGAAAGGGGCGCTTGGCTGGCTCAGTCGTTAAGTGTCTGCCTTCAGGTCATGATCCCAGGGTCCTGGGATCGAGCCCCGCATCGGGCTCCCTGCTGGGTGGGAAGCCTGCTTCTACCTCTCCCACTCCCCCTGCTTGTGTTCCCTCTCTTGCTGTCTCACTCTCTGTCAAAATAAGTAAATAAAATCTTAAAAAAAAAAAAAAAAAAGAAAGCAGGAAAATAATTAAAATAAAATACTTTTTTGAAGCCCTAACTTCTTATTCAGATACTACTTTAGGCTGTGAAAAAAGCAGATTTGGAGATCTTATGTCCATCATCCATCCATTTCCAAATGCCTGGCAAGGCAATCCATGACATCATGCGTTCTTATCCTTTATCCCAGACAACTTTTGGAAATAAATTCAATCAGCCAGTTAATACTTATTAAGTATCAGTTCTATACCTAGTCCTGGCTAGGTTTCTAAAGATGAAAGACAGTTTTTCCTTGGAATCACAGTTTAATCCAGGGGCTTTAAGAAGATCTCAGTTTCAACGTGGTTGATTAACCTAAATTTCTGAAACTTTAAATTCACAAGGAAAGGTAACCAAATGAATGATGATAAAATTCATCATCATCATCATATCAAAACAACTCTTTATTATTATTATTCATTAAAAAGCTTTTTCATAAACATGATTTCTCATTTGTATTCACTAAAGTACCATGAGTGAGAGGAGACATTATGTCCATTTTCATGGGTAAATTTAGGATCAAGGAACTTAAATAACTTGACCCAAAGTAACACATAGAGTAAGAAACAAACATAGATCTCAAATCCAGGTTTTCCCATTCCAAATTCTCATGTTTTCCCCCAGTACGATTTGCTATTTTGAGATAAATATTCATCAATGACCCCCATATCAATATAGATTCTTCTAAATCTAGTGCTTCTTTCCAATAGCTTATTTTTCCACTGTCTTCAATAGCTTTGATGGCACATGTAAAATGACGTGTAGACATGATTCCAGAATCGCACAGACACTATTCCTCCTCAGAAAGCTTCAAATGCATAGCTCCTCCATCTTTCAGAGGCTCTTTTGAAATATGAATTTGAGGGAGAGTTTGGGTTGCTTTGGCTTTATCTGCTACCCAGTACATAAATGCCCCTTTACTCTACATCTTCTTTGTGTCAAATCCCTTGCATTACTGCTAGCTGCCTCCAAGCTTGCCAGAATCAAGAACTTGGATAAAATCTAGCTGGCGGAAATTCAATCCAGGCAAGACAAAAGTGATGCTGATAGGCAGAAGTATTTAGAGTAAATAAGGAGAAGTGCTGTTTCGTTGGCAATCGGGACATCATACCCACCAAACATAAACAGCTTTGTGGTGTTACTGGACTCTGTTGCTTCTGGACTTCCTAACAGCTACTGTGGCTGGAAATGCCATCTTCCATCTCCAGCTGGCTTGAAGGCTGCATACTGTCTTCCAAATTAAGATTCTGCCACAGTGATGTACACATTTGTCATATCCAGCTGGACTACTATAATGCGTTCTAGCTGGTTCTCAATACACAAAACTACATAAACGTTACAGACAACAGTGTAAAGTAATTTACTTGTTGGGAAAACCAGCCACCAAAATTAGATGCATGCTTGGGTCTTTGGACAGCCCTATGGCTGTCAAGTCTACAAAGGTCTAGTAACTTTACTCACTAAAGACCAAGTTACATCACTGGCTAATGTGAGGCCAGTGTCCAGAACTTTGTAATGAAGATACAAACAACTGGTGAATCCAAAAGTAAGGAAGAAAGGAAGAAAGAAAGACGTAAAGAAAGAAAGAAAGAAAGAAAGAAAGAAAAGGAAGAAAGAAAGAAAATGTCAGAATCATAGCATGTTAGACAAAGCCTTTGACTTTTACTCATGGGTTTGTTTATTTGCCTACATGCCTTTCAAAATAAGATTTTTATTTACTTACAACCCTGAATAAGTCATGTTCAAATAGGTCAGCATTTCTATACTTCACAGTACATCCTTGTTCATTAAAAAACAATGAACAATGAAACATTACATTAAGTATAAAGTGCCCTATAAAATTCACCCTGTCAAAATGCCACCTAAAAAATCCACTACTCCTTTAATATGAAAAACTACAATTGGCAACATATTTTTTTTCAATGAATTATCTGGAACTTTTAATTCCCAGAGAATGTCGTAACTTTGATTAAAGAAAAAAAGTGTGTGTGTAATGTAATTTCTCCATTTGGACCAAGATCAAATGGTGTACGGATAATATAGGCCAGAGATTGGCAGTTTTTTCTGTAAAGTCCAGATAATAAATACTGTTAGCTCTGTGGGTTGTATGGTCTCTGTTCAACTGCTCTTAAAATGCGAAAGCAGTTGTATCATGTAAATGAATGAGCATGGCTCTGTTCCAATAAAACTTTATGAGCACTGAAAATTTAAAAAAATCTAAAAACCATTCTTAGTGTTTGGGCCTGCAAAAACCACTAATAGGCTGGACTGAGCCCATGGGTCATGGTTTGCTGATACTCGTTCTATCGAACTATATAAAGTAAGGGGCAAAATTGCACACCACCAGGACCTAAATCCCTAGGTCTGCCACTGCTTTCCCGGGACACCTTGGGCAAGTTACATAACCTACCTCAGTTTTCTCATCTGTAAAGCAATGTTAATAACCTTAAAAATCTTAATGCATTATTGGGAGCATGAACTCTGATAATAAGTTTTGCAAATGATACTAAGTGTCTATAGTAAGTGCTCAATAAATGTTATCTATTAGTACACATTACTATTTTGGAGGTAACACCTCTTTTGGCTTATTTTAGTGAAAGGATTAGAAAAAGAGCTTTTGTTATATTCCAATTCTCAAAATTATGTTGTTAAGTGCCTAACTATTCTCTTCTCAAGAAAGGAGGGAACCAAATTTACCCAGAGATGTCAAAGAACATTTGGAGTGGGGCAAAGGAAGGAGCAACCCCGAGTTACAAAATCTGCCTCCATCTGAACTGACACCTACCCGATTTCTGTCTTCATTTGTCAACAGTTCCTTCTCCACACACTTGTCCAAGATATCTCTAACCAGAAGTTTGTCCACCAGGGTGGGCTGGAGGAGGTTCATTAGTTGGAGGCACTCATCATGAACGTTCTCAGAGGACGGAGAAGGCAAGTCGGTGAGCTCTGGGTTCAGGTAGCGGGCGGCTAAAACGCTGCCTGCTCTCTGAAGAGCCACCAGAAATTGTCTGGTCCAGCCAGGGGGCCAGCCTCCCTTCTCCAAAGTGCTCAGAAGTTGATCAGCTGCCTGCATGTTCCCAGCGTTGACGGCCGTCCTCTGAATCTGCTCCTTCACCTCATCGGGCAGAAAGTTCAGGTAGTCCAGTACGGGCTCCACCTGGATGTACGTTTTCACTCTGGCCCTGAAACACGAGATGAGATAGCAGAAACTCTTGTCTGCCGAGTAGCCATTCGACATCTTTCGTTCGTGCTCAGCAAAGGGAGAGGATTCTCCCTAACAGACCGACAGCTTGCTGTTCTCTGCTCAACAGGTGAGCTGTGTGTCCCGCGGTCGGCTTGGAAGCCCGCAGGGTCCGCAGCTCTGGGCCTGACGGAGCGGGTGGTCCGCAGGACCCCCAGGGCGGGCGCGGGGGCTCGGTGGGTCGCACCTGGGCAGGGGGCGGGTGGTTAGGTGGCGGGGCGCGCCGGCCCGGGGACGCGGCGGCGAGAAGCTGCGGGCGGCGGGCGGACAGACGGGCAGGCGCGACCCCTCCGACTCTCGGCTGCGCTCGCCCCCGCGGGAGACCAAGACGCCGCCTCTGCCAACTGCGGTGGGAGCTTTGAGCCCCGCTTTCCGCAAGGCAGTTCTTGTAGTTTGCCGGACTTGGGTTTCTGTTTCGATTCTCTCCGTCTCCCTCAGGCCTTTCCAGACGTAATCCGCCGGGGCGGGGAGTGTACGTTTCCCAGAGCAGGAGACACCCTTCGGCCGGCTCTGGCAAGGACAGTCTTTCGGTGGCAGGCACTGTGGGAAACGGAAAAGGAAAGCGAATTCGGAAAGCAGCGATCCAACAATGCTCCTTCTGCAGGTATTTTGACTTTTTTCTTTTTTTTTTTGCAGGGTTCTGCCTCAAAAATCAGACTTCTTTCCCACAGCCGTCTTGCATTACCCCCGTCAGCGAAAAGGTGGAGGGCTTGAAAGCGCGTGATTCGGGACTTCCCGGTCCAGAAGTGAAGAGAAACTGCCACAGACCCTGACGCCAGCAGGAAGGAGTTACCCTTAGCTGGTGACTACAGGTAGGTTCTGCCCCACCCCCAGCCCCCTGTCCGCAGATAAGATGGTAAGACTGCAGGGAGCAGCTGGAGAAAATAAAGCCAAGAAGACATCTTTCCAGAGAGGTGTGAACCCCGAGCCCCAGGATGAATGACCTTTGCACCCTCTCTAGAATAAACCTGACTTCCTGTAGGTCCCCCCAAACCAGCTTTTTCCTCTGAGAATTTGTGGGTTTGAAAAAGAGTGAATAATGATAAACGGTTTATTTGACTGCCTGATGCGTAAATTGTAGTATTTATTTGGCTTTGACCAGGGCCTGGCGACAGACGCAGAGGGACTTTAACCACCAACTCAGCTTAAGAGGAAGCCAAGAATGAAGGTTTTCTATCTCCCAGCCTGTAAGTTCCCCATATTCTTTAATATACAACTTTCCTTTAATAAAACAAAACAAAATCCCCAACAACTTATTTTTGATATAGCTGCCATTCTTTTCTTGGATTCAATACAGAAAGTTTTGGCTGAAGCAGTGAGGAACTTAATTAGCAACTAATGTACCAACTTGTAGTAAACATCAACATTTGTCTATGTCATGAGGGAAAAAAAGACACCCACACTGAAAAATGGCAGCTTTGGTTCAGTACAGAAGCCACATAAAAGTGAGTCCTTCAGGTTGCTACTCATATTCTGCAGCCAGGGGGAAGTGTGGGTGGTAGTGTGTATGCTTCCCGTGAGAACCTCATGGTCTAGAATTATATGGAGGATGGAGGGGTCAGTTAAGCCATTAAAAAGATACATTTAGGAAAAGTAATCTCGTAGCAAAGCGCATTCAATGAAGTTTAGATAGGACAGGGACGCCTGGTTCTGCTTTGGACTGGATAAGAGAAATACAGAGTCCTTGTTTTTATCAGAGGCATACAAAATATTCAGTAGAGCTCTTTATAGCATCTCGTCTTGTTTTATGCTTTAATTATATTGTGTAGCTAAGCTTTTTTCTTTCCTGTAGGATTGTAAGCTGCTTGAAGAGAGGGCATATTTACACACTAACCAGTACAATACAAACAGTAGGTCCTAACCAGTAGGTCCTTGATGATTACCCTCAGTGGGAATTTTATTTGCTTTGACCTTAGCAGTTGGTCTAACATCAAACACATAGTGAAAGTTACTGAAGTGAAATAAAACTTTGGTCTTGCAGGTAGACCTGCTTTATATTATTCTTTTCCATTTCTTCATAAAATACTACTATGTATTTACTTAATTTTGGGATTTGACCTTGTACCTAAAAAAAAAAGAGAGAGATTAAGGGGAACCTGGGTGGCTCAGTCGGTTACGTGTCCCACTCTTGATTTCAGCTCAGGCCATGATCTCATGGGTTGTGAGATCAAGCCTCACGTCCCGCTCTGTGCTCAGCAGGGAGTTGGTTTGAGGTTCTCTCTCCTCTCCCTCTGCCCATCCCCCCACTCACTCATGCTCTCTCTCTCTCAAAATAAATCTTAAAAAAAGAGATTAAATTAGATGTTTCTGCAAAAGTATTCAAATTATCAATTTTAGTTATTGGGTCTATGAAGGTACCTTTTAGGACCATTCCAAGAAATTCCCTCCAGCCCTGCCCTTCAGGTACTGGCAGGTTTCATTTAGTACATTAAAACAAAACCAACCAACCAACCAAAAACCATTCCGTCCCCTGATATCCATCCTTCTGTCCTTGAGCTTCAAACACCGGAGGATACAAAGGAATTGATGGCTAAATATGGGGAAATAATGTCATCATCTTAACATCATAGAATTGCTGTTTGGATGACAGAGGGTCAAAAGTAGAAGCTTACATGTTTGGTGTTCAGATTATGTCATTCATTCATGCAATCATTTAAAAAATATTTATTAAGTACCTGCGATATGATCAGTGCTGCTCTTGTATAGTTAATAAAACTGAACAAAACTTCTATTTTTATGGAGTTTACATTCTAATGGGAGTGGGAAGACAGATACCAAATAATAGCCAGAAAGTAGGCAATGTTCCAGTGGAGAACAAATGCTATGAGAACTATAGTAAGATCCATTCCTAAGTATTTTGTTTTGTTTGATGCTATCACAAATGGGATTGTTTATTTCTTTTTCAGATAATTTGTTAGTGTATAGAAATGCTACTGATTTTTGTATATTGATTTCATATCCTACAACTTAACTGAATTAGTTGATTAGATCTAACAGGTTTTTGATGGAGTCCTTAGGATTTTCTCTGTATGAAATCATGTCATCTACAAATAGAGACAATTTTACTTCTTTTTGTCCAATTCGGATACCTTTTATTTCTTTTTCTTGCCTGATTGCTCTCGCCAGAACCTCCAGTTGAATGTTGAATATGAGTGGTGAAAGTGGGCACTCTTGTCTTGTTCTTGATGTAAGACCTAGATAATAATGTACATTATAGTTTCACCAGCTGATTTTCCATATAGACACCCTCCTCTAATTCTCACCATTAGCATTCTATAATATCTATCAATAACAATTCATATTTACTCTCTAGTAAGAGTCACTTTGCTGGATGAGGATTGAATGATGAAGACTGAGCGTGAGTGAGAACACCAGAAGGAAAGTAGAAAGGAACCTCTTTTTTAGGACTCTTCCATAATCTTGATAGGACCCCTTCTGGAGGAAGGAGAAGGGGCGGGGCGAAGCCAAGCCACAGTCTCTCAAAGTGTGTCTTTTTTCTTTATCTATAATTTTGCATTGTGATTTAGTTTATTTTCTACTTTTTGTTTGAATAGATGTTTTCCTCTGTCAAGCTTCCTCTGGTAACTTTCATTTTCATTCTCCTTTTTGTTTTCTAAATGTTAAGTTTCTATTTCCTTTATCCTTTGAGGTAGGAAATCTTGTCAATCTATGTCTTTTCCTTTTCTCTAGATCTGCCTTTTCTTTTTAAACCCAAAAGAACATTTCAGTCCCCATCAATTTTAAAAAAGTCACCTGTAGCATTTTGTTCTCTAAACAGTAAGTCAGGAAGATATGAGATAACAAATTCCTGCTGTTATCCAACCTTTCATCTGAGTTTTCTACAGTTGAGAAGCAGTAAAAATCATAGCTCCACTTCTTTGACAAACTAGAACTACAATGTAATGGCAGTATGCTTTTCTTCTCAATTAAATTACAATAAATCTAGTTCAATGAGGAAATCCTTCTAAAATTGTTTTTCTGTTCCTTCATTTGTTATCAGCTTGTATCAAGAAAGAGACTACTCTGTTTCATTTAAAGCTAGGTGTCCTTAACCTAGCAGTATAGTGCTCTGATTAAGCACGGTGACCCTGCGCCGGGATGTCAGGACCTACATCTCAGCACCACCTCTTAGTTGCTGTGTGGTCTTAGGAAAATCACCTAAAGTTTCCCACTTGTGAAACAAGAATGATACCAGTACCAGGCCATAAGGTTGTTCAGAGGCTAGACTGTAAAGCGCTTAGCACCAGCCCTGGCATTTTAGGTGTCCAAGAAGTGACGACAAGCAATGAGTAAGAGACGGTGTTACCTCTCAAAGAATGCACAATTTATAGTGGAAATAAATTAGTTATGTATATAAACCTATATAATAAGTAGCCAGGTAACTGAGTTTTTAGGTAGGATCACTTTTTTCAAGAAACAGAAGCTAATAGACTGACTTAGCAGAAAAATTTATTGAAAGGTACTATCATAGATTTATATTTCAAAAACATAAATCCAAAACAGAAAGAGGAATTTTAGCTAAGTTTATTAGATCCTAATACTCATTTCTTAATTATTTCCACCATTTCAGTTATAAAATTCTGGTTTTAAGCATGTGCATGCAAAAGTGTTTCTATATAACAAACAATGTTGGGAAAAAAATCAGGAATCAGTGAAAAATTTTCCAAACATCTACTTTTCCAAATGCTTCCTCTATAGCTTAAACTTTCAAAAACAGTCACTTGGGCATGTTTTTGTTAAAATCTCAAAGGCAGGGAGCCTGGGTGGCTCAGTTGGTTAAGCAACTGCCTTCGGCTCAGGTCATGATCCTGGAGTCCCGGGATCGAGTCCCGCATCGGGCTCCC